TTTATAAGGTATAAATTAAAATCCTAACGCAAGCGCGCTAGTTAAGTTCACATATTATGTATTTGACAAAAGTACCAAGACGAAGAAATCATTTAGGTACTTGTTAATCAGTCAGATATTTCTGGTTACCTATCTGTATTTACAAAAAAGCCTCAGTTAAGAATATTTAATTAAATAATTTTGATAATAAACTTTCGCCTTGCATTATAGGTACTAACATTTGAAAACGGGAATAAACGCGTTTAAACACATTAATGGATATTTTCACGCCTATCCATATTCCCGAAGTTTCGGCCAGGTTGCACTGGCCGTGATCACAAGCTGACTCACCACGGCCAATGCCATCTGGCCGAAACGTCGTCGTTGGGAAAATAACATGTAGGTGTGAAAATATCTATTATGGTAGTGAAACCAATCATGGACGGTTTAAGGATGTATTTTTTGTTCTAGTCTTTTAATTTTGGATGAGTTACCCTGTGGAACTCGGGGAAAGGTTTTATTGGTTAAAAAGCCTTCAAATAATAATTGAAAGTGCTTTAATCAGATCAATTAATAAAGAAAACATTGTTATTTGAGTATCCTTACATGGACAGCCCAATTTCCAATGAATACCCCGTCATGGACGATTTCCATGGACACCTAAACTTGAACGATCAACTATTTAGCTAAATTAACAAATTCAATCTTAAAAAAGGAGATCTTGCATGGTACTTAAACTTATTTCTAAACGAATGATGTGATGTTTCATATAACCCATTTGTGACAGGTAACAATGGGTGGTCATTCACTTCAGTGCCATGTCTAAAAAAAGTCAAATCCAGTAATGGAACGACTAGTGACGGACACTATTTCCATTACTGTGTAAACTTAAATAATGTAACAAGCTATAAACTAAATTAAAAGTCTGGCTTGAAATGATTGAGTAAACAGCTAAATGAGATCCGGTAATAAACACTTCAAATTTTCCAACAGACGTTATGTTATTCATTTACGGTTATGTTTTCTTTAGATGCTTAAAATAACACCAAAAACACAAAATAACCACAGAAGTCACCACACTCTTAAATGCCACATTCATGTGTGATTATAAAAAACGTACCTGAGGCGCGGTCCTTAGAAGAATTCCGTTTTTTTTTAATTTGATATCACATCGCGACAATGGCGAATAAAGATAGTCGCTAGCTGTCAAAATTGAACTGACGTCTTCCATTTCGATCAAATATTATAAAAAAAATTAAAAGTTAAACAAAATAACTAGCATTTCCTTATTTTTGGCAGTATAGTTCTAAAATGTTCATGATTGGTGCACTGTCCATCATCGTTTCCACTACCTTACGTGTTTAAAAGCGCGTTTATTCTCATTTTGGTAACATTTATTAGTCTCTAAATTTACCCAGTGCCATTAAACTTCATTTTAAAAAAGCATTTCCTCGTGTTTCATAAAATGTATTCTCTTCCTTGGTCTTCTATTAAACAAATACACTTATTTGATTATATATTATACTAAACCGTTGAATTGGTTGTCGACTGTTCATAAATACTTTTACTAATAAAACCATTAGAAGTAGAAAGTTTTGTGTTATTTATCTCTCAAAGTATCATGTTTTCGCCAAGTTGTTACTTACCTGAAAATGTTATCAAGTTGACAAATCCCCAAAAACAAATACTAAAAAATAACGTTACGGATACCTCTATCTTTCATGGCTGTGAAGATTGAGTTTATCTACGAATAGTTAAACAACCTCTTGAGATTGTTGTCACGTAGGTACGTCATTGAAAAGAGAGAATCGAACGATCCATTGGGGCAGTACGCCAAAGCAACTCGGCACCGCGACACGAAATAATGGTTTGGCTAGCAATAATCGGCCTACTCACATTATGCCACTCGTAAGTACCTCCTTGTTTGTAATTAAAGTTCAAAACAACGCCTAATCACTGTTCCACAACTCCATAATGCTTGAATGATCAAACGCTTCTAAAATTGCAAGCTATGAAATAGTCACGAGGTTACACTCATCAAGGCAGTCATTTACATCGGCATAAAATTTTTAAATGTTGTGTTATCGAAAGAATACTAGAACACAAATTTTCATAAAGATCAACTACAAAACTACAAAAATATCAAGTATTAAAAATATGAATAAACGTGTTCTTAGAGGCTGCTAAATGTTAACCACATGGTGGCTGTAAAATTGTAACACAAATGTCAAAAACTCTTATATGATTGTCGCTGACTCGAAATTGACTTATTTGTAAGTCAATGACGTCGCTATACACTTTTAAATTCTGACTTTATATAGGGGCATTGCGCATCGCACCAAATTCCCCGACGGGTTTACGTTTGGCGTGGCGACGGCCGCGCATCAGATCGAGGGAGCATGGAACATTAGCGGTACGTTATGTTATACCGCTTAAAACAGAGGTTTCTTTAAAACGCCATGTGAAATTAGGGAAAGGTAAATGTTTCTGTCTGAATTATTGTTTATTGTGAATATCATAAGAACATCCACATCATCCCCTGAGTTTAGTAACTCGGGGTGTTCTAACATCGCTTTCGTTTACTCAGGTACATATTGTGTTTACTCAAGATGTACGTATTACATAGAAAAAAGGAAAAGTGACATATATTTTTTAAATAAAAAACGTATAATTAAAAAAGGTTTCAAAAAACGCTATAGTTTATAATTACTAATTTTAAGTAAATATTCATATGCGCTTATTTTTAAACCACTATCAGGTTAATATTGCAAATAAATGGTATTGGTATTTTGAAAAAGTTCGCTTTGAAGACTTTCTCATGCTTTCACTTAATCACTTCTATCTTTTCTTTCAATTGTGCAAAGCATTTTTATTTAAAAACAATTAGACGTCATTTTGCGCTACTTGCTTTAATTTTTAATACATCTTCAATGTTATGAATTAAACAATAAGTCCATAAGAAATTAAGTTTGATTGATCACCATCTTGACATATATATATATATATATATATATAATATTATATAATATATATATGATAATATATACATATATATATATAAACATCTCAATCTCATCGGATTTTGATGATAAAAAGTATGTAGTACTTCACTTTTGAGACTTTCAAAATATAGTTAATCTATCAGTTTAATACTCACCAAACAGTATCTACCTATATAGATAACTCATCTAGGTCACCTTCCATATTTTTTTTTCGTATATAGTTTGCAAATAGAAAAAAATAAGATAAATCACTCTTCATACGTAATTACTTTTTGATATTTCTTACTTTTTTACGGTTTATAAAGAAACAGTTCGTTGAAAATAGAATACTAATAATAATAATAAAAAGACTAAATAGTCACGATTAATGTAAACTTGACGCAACGGACCGTAACGTACCTACACTAATTGGAATAGAATGTACAATGCTAATCCGTGAAAATAGCATTAATCGAAACTACAACCTATTGGATGATAAATTAAAAATGTTGGATAATTTTAGACCTACCGTTAAAACAACTAGATCAACAAATAAACAGAAGCAAACTTGATTAACGAAAGGACCGAGAACATCATGTAAGTAAACATAAAAGATTGCAAAGAATAATTATAATGGAACAAAATAATTATACGAAAGAAGAATTGCTAATAATAAATAAATCTGTCAGACAATAAAATCCTAAAGAACCATTTCAAAATATGTAAAAAAATTAAAAATGTACTATGATATTAAAAAGAAAGAACTACATTAAAGAAATAAAAGCTTCCGCTAATAAATAGAAACAAAAATGGCACATACATTAAATTAAAAATAAATAACACCTACTTAGATTCACTAAAAATTACTACTTAACATTAATTGGTAATTTTCAGGTTAGTTGCCTCTGCTTAATTGGCAATTTTTATTATCTCAAAACTAATGTGTATTCAATAGTAGAACAGCGCCCTGTTTTTTCGAGATTATCTAGTGCCTATTTTGCGTGTGGTTATTAGTGATGCCTTCGCTACTGCTTTTTGCGATTGAGGCAGTTACATGTCCTATTTGGAAGTATTTCGCTGAAGTACTTCTGCAGTTGCTTCCGTTTTCGCTAAGATTAAATGATGACATCTGTTTCCGTTATAACATTCCCGTTGCATCACTAGTAGTTATGTACCTATATTTAATGAAACCTTATAAATTATTACACAGGCAAATCAGAAAATGTGTGGGATCGTCTGACTCACTCTCGACCAGAACTGATCGCGGACGGAACTAATGGAGACGTTGCCACAGACTCATACCACCGATATCAAGAGGACGTCGATGCACTGGCGTACCTCGGCGTTGACTTCTACAGGTTATCTCTCTCCTGGTCCCGTATTCTACCTTCTGGTCGTAATAACTACATTAACCCAGATGGCATTCGCTATTACAACGCTCTTCTCGATGCGTTGGCTGAGAAGAACATTGAACCTCTCGTAAGTTACGAACATCGTCTATACTATTTGTTCTGTGTAGCAGTTTATTCAATTTGTATGATTTATAATCATGCTCCAGGTGACACTCTTCCACTGGGACTTGCCTCAATCTCTACAAGATCTCGGCGGTTGGGCCAATCCTAAAATGATCGATTTCTTCCGCGACTACGCTGACTTTTGCTTCAGAGAATTCGGAGACAAGATCAAATCCTGGATCACTATTAATGAGCCGTACGAAATTTGCGAGGATGGTTATGGAGACGAAAAGAAGGCACCTGCTATTGATAGTCATGGAGTTGGCAATTATTTATGCAGTGACACACTATTGAAAGCACACGCTGAAGTCTTCCATTTATACAATGAGACGTACAGGGAAAAGCAAAACGGAACTATCATGATTTCCATCAACTCGATTTGGTACGAACCCAGCGACCCTGAAAACACCGAGCAGGTTACTTTGGCGGAAACTGCTAATCAATTCAAAGTAAGACACATTATGTGCAATATCACTTAATAAAAAGCCAAGAAACAACTTTTACTATGGAATTTACTCAAAAATCAAAGTTATTTCTTTTTATGAAGTCACTTAGGAAATACAGTATAGTTACAAGAAGGCACTGTACATAATTTGATAATTCCATTTTCACAGTTCGGATGGTTCGCACACCCTATCTTTACGGAGCAAGGCGGCTACCCTGCAGTGATGGTGGAAAATATAGCAAGAGAAAGTATGCAGGAAGGTCTCACGAAACCCCGTCTCCAGCAATTCGATGATTACTGGATCCAAAGAATCAAAGGCACATCGGACTTTCTCGGCATTAACCACTATACCACATTTTTGGTTACTGGTCCTGGTGTTGACCCTACTGCTAAATCGCCTTCCTGGCTGAAAGACACTGGAGCCGTCACTACTATGGAAGTAGGAGAGGACTCTGCTTCAGAGTGGTTAAGGGTAAGTAAATCTTCTTGCTTTTAAAAGCCTTCGTACCTAATGCCGTGTAATTAAACCAGTTTGTACTTAAAATAGAGCTAAACTAAAAATTTGTACAGGAAATATACGCATATATATATATATATACGCATACGTATATATATTATATATATATAACATTATAGGTTGTGCCGGCTGGTTTCGGAAACTTACTCCGTTGGTGCAAGAGCTCTTACAACGACCCGCCAATCTACATCACGGAAAATGGTTTCTCAGATCGCGGTACCTTAGAAGACTATGGTCGCATCAAGTACCTTAATGTAAGTCAAACTAACAAATTTCTCATTTGTGGCGAAGGTTGTCAACTGTGTATAAACATTTCAGTCGACTCCCAATATTTACAATTATTATCTGAGAAATTTAAAAGTATTTACATGATATTCAAAGATTGGCTCGTAAAGAAGTGTTTCTACAGTGTTAATTTAAGCTGTTAGTAATTCTTATCATTCTGTTACTTATTATACAGGGTTATTTGCAATTACTAACAACCTCGCAGAAGTATATTACCTACTAACATAAAAAACAACAATTTTTGTTCCATGACTTCATGTGTGATGAAACAAAAGTTGTTGTTTATGCTGTTAGTGACATAGATCCTGCGAGGTTTGCTAGTATTTTAAAAATAATTCTTTATATATCGATATCGAAATAGGCGATCCGAATATTATTATTAATAATAAACCAAAATACCTGCTCTTGTTCCTTTTTCCAAACACACTTATCCAATTCTTTACTTTAAAAAGTGGTTACTATTCAAAGTAGTTGCTTTTAACTTTAGCTTTTCCCCTTTAAAATAGTTCGAATTTATACCCTACATCACCTATTACAACGTATCTAATATGTTTGTAGTACTCAAATAATACATTTATTTAACAGATAAGCAAATTGCACTGGAAATATTTGAATCTTGAATACTGTGCTCTATTCTCTACACATTTATATATTTCAGGACTATCTTACTGAAATCTTGAACGTGATCTACGAAGATAACGTCAGAGTTTTGGGGTACGCTCTTTGGACACTTGTGGATAATTTCGAATGGAGAGCTGGATTCTCGTAAGATATGATTTACCTGTATTAATTCATATCGTCAGTGGAAAGGTAAAAAGGCTAGTAAGTGAGAAGCGCCATATAGAGTACCTTACTTAGTGACTCTGCTGGCTCAGCGATCCGAAGTGGGTCTTGGCCTCCGTTATGAGATGGCACCAGCGCGCCTTGTCTTATACGATCTCCTCGTAGTTCTGTGCATGCAGGGCGCAGAAGTCTTTCTCCACTTAGTCCCTCCATCGGTATTTGGACCGATCAATCGGTCGTCTATCCCTACGACGCCCCATTAGCTGGAAACTTTTCGAGATGTCCATTCCAACGGATCTGATTTCTCCAATAATATTGGGCTCAAACACGATGTCCTCCAGTTCCTAGTCCTTTCCGAGTGTCTAATAGGAGCTCTTTTAAAATTTAGAGCGAATTTTAAAGTCTCAAATGTAGGCAAATTGTCAGATTACTCAAGCGCCAAAAAAGTGATTAGATTGCTACGAAACATAGAGAAATTGATGCCAAAAACAATCCAAACCAATGATTATATGACTCATTTTCGCTCAGTGGCGTTTAAAACTTTTACCCTTGCACTAACGATTAACTTACCGTCACCACTGCTCCATTAACTATCTAATGAGATAGTAATTCTCATTATGATGCGGATTGAGGCCCGAGGACCTTACCTTGAGAAAAATTTTCGCACGTATAGCGTTCCAAATTCAAAAACAGGAAACTGGAATTACGTAACCTACAGATTCATAACCAATAAAAGCCTTATCTGTTGGCCAGGGAGCGTTTCGGTGTTTACTACGTGGATATCACACAGCCGGACAGGCCCCGTACGCCCAAACTCTCTGCTGAATACTACCGTGCACTGGTCGCCACACGCGAGCTACCTCAAGATGAACGTTTCTTTGATCAGGTAAAGCATCACAATGAAACCTGCTGGTCAAGATAAATATTATTGAATCCATCTTGAGTCACTGAATTTTACGTAATTTTAACCGACTTCAAAAAAGCGCGTGCGTGCGTGCGTGCGTGCGTGCGTGTGTGTGTGTGTGCGTGCGCGTGTGTGTGTATGTATGTGTGTGCGCGCGTGTGTATGTATGTTACGCGATTACTCCGACATTTGTGAACCAATTTCAAGGATTATTTTATTTTGGAAAGGGGGTACCTCATGCACTAGGGGCCCCATTCAAATTTGAAGAAAATATTTCACCTCTTAAGAGTCGCAAATTAGGGGATGAAACCGGTTTGTTGGATTTCACCCAATTTTCGTTAACCGGTTTCAATGAAACTTGGCAAATATATAATTCCACTAACTTTTGAGGTCGGTTTTCTTTTTGTAAAACAGTTATAATTATATGCCAACTTTACAAAGATACTTCGAACAGATTGCCACATTACAGATCTTTATTCATAAAGCAAATAGGTATGACACTTCAGACTTCATTTCTTTTTATTGTGTAATTTTTATTATGTAGTGCTTCTGTGCTACGCTGTTACAATGCTAACAAAACCAACTAATATTTCAACTTTTTCTTTGTTCACTCTTAGCTAATTCGCATGTGTGCATATGTTTTGTTTATACCTGTAGCATCGAGTATATAACCAAAAATAGAGACGAAATGTCATTTAATTTGTTTGAAAACTATTCTGCCATATCATTACTGAGACAACTACGTTCCGATTGGCCAGCCCGAATTCAAAACAATTGATGGGTGTCGTCAAAGGGTGTCTCCAATTGTTTCACATCAAATCGACCAGTTAACTTGAGCTTTGCTATAATGGACGAAAATTGCAAAATTACATATTTAATATTTAATTACCGATAAAAATTTGATTCCGTTTGGTTTATAATTAGATGTTTTGCTATTATTCCCAACACCACCGAATGGAACAGCACGCCATTGTTAGAGATATTATCTTTATTACAATAATGCAGAATATTTTTGGAATATACGGAAACGTACACACGGGTCAGTTGTTGACGCTGTACTATTTCAGCTTTCTAATTTGTAATTTCAGTGCAAACGAGAATTGATATCTATAAGTGATGTATCACTGATGAGTTACAAGGAATCTATGGCCCTTATTTCGTCTCCATTTCTGGTTATATACTCGATGACCTGTAGTATTAATATCGTTACTTGCCAGCTTTTCTAACTTAAGCCCTTATATTTATTATTAACAACAACGAAAGTTAGCGATAAACAAAGAACTTCTACTTACACGTTAAGTCAGTTTATAAAGTAAATTTTCACCACAAAGAAAAATACAAGCAAGAAACGGTAACAAAACGATAAACATTTACTAAATACTGTTAATTTGTTCACTTTCGTTAACATAGTTTACATTATATTGTGATTGTATATATCTGTACTTATTTAATGTACTAAGCATGACATATTGAACTATTTTTTCAGGCGAGGTTGTGAAGCATGTAGTGGGAGCCTTTATGGTAGAAGTACGATATGCACCTAGTAATATTAACACAATGCTTGACAAACACATAATATTTGAAATGCCTAATAAAAAAGTAACGTGCAAACAGCTTTTCCATTTCAACAGACTGTTGGTACCCAAAGAAGCGAACTTTAGACAACTAGAGAAGTCCAAGAAAGTATCAAGTAAAAAAGATATTAGGTATTAAAACAAATATTTATTTAGTTCATATAAGAATATCGAATTATTTACAATGAAATTATTGTAAATTAATTACTTTGACACATTTAATTCCATTGTTATAACATTGATAAACGTAATGTTACATACACTACAGAGAAAACTTGCATCTGTTGTCATACTGAAGAGATATGTTTGTATAAAATAAAGGTTTACTTAAGAAATAAATGATATAGACTTATAATATTGTTCGGATATTATTCAGATAGTCAGATTGGTCTTGGACTTGGATACGGCATTATAATAATTGTGATACCGGTTACTCCTGGCACTATGGAATGTTTACATGTAGAAAAGCACTGTTATCTGGAAAGTGTGTTAAATAACCAAATGGTAAAGGAAGTTCGTTTACAATAATATACTTTACTCAAGATGCAACAATCAAATCTGCAAAGAAAATTATTGCGAGGAAATCGCAAAAGTCATCGGAATGAGAACTAAGTAAACCTGTCATACTCCCTGCTGATTGGCGGCGTCGACGGCTGATCAGCTTAATACGACAAGTGCGGTAAAGCAAGATCGATTCCGCGTCGAAAGGCAAGTGTGGTAACCCCCTAAGCTTCCTTTACTCCTGCAAGTAGGAACTAACAACTACATTCACAGTGTTATGTGCTATAGTGACAAAGACAAGCATGAATAATAATCTGAACAATATGAAATTCGTCGGAACTTAGGAATAATAATAATTAATACACGACATACAAAATAAAGTACAATGAAAGGATCTATAGAATACAAAAATTTAAATGTATCATAATCCCAGCACCATTACGCCTAGTTACAAGTTATACAGATGCTATACTGCTATTTAAAACTGAAGATTACATTAAGTCTTATAAGAATATAAAAGTACTTTTACTAATATGGCAAAGTTTTCAATGTAGCATTTAATATAATAAAGGCCTAATTTCATTATCATAACTTTCAATCAAGCTAGCTGAATTCATTACAGTCACACAAAAAAAATCTAAAGACTAGGTGGGCTAAAATATAATTTTGAGAAGTCACCCTTGACAATATTGCCTAGTAAAGGGCCAGAGCGAACAATAAGATAAGAAGTTTAACGAAGTAATACTCAACAGTAAAAACATGCTAGAACAGCGTCTGCAGTTGGCACCATGTTGGATGATAAATCCCGTGAAGACAACTATTACGATATTGCACGTTCTCGTAAAGTTGTCAATATCGAAAGCCGACGCACCATTTGTTTTACGCTACATACCAAGGTCAAAGGTTCCGTCGGCTGTCCGTTGCATACTACTCGCTATCCCTATGTCGCTACCTAGCTGCACCACATTGTTTACCGACAAAACATAATAGTTAAGATAATAGCTGCTGACATTATTGTCTAGTTTACGATTACCTATAAAACTTAACACTAAGCATAATCTCAAAAATACACAAGGACGGTAAGTAGACAAAACACGTTACTAAAATAAGTAGTTTAATTCTGTCCGATTTATTTATTTAATACATCAATATCTGAACATAGAAAAAAATGTAGAAATATATCGATATCATCTAAATTACAAAACGCAATAAATAATTTTTATAAAGGCACAATAAGGCACTGTTACGTCGAGATGTTATCACAATCTTAGTTTACGATAATGAGACGCTATCGTCCGAATCAGCGACACATCATATTTTACCTAAACAACCAAACGGAAAAGGGATTTCCTATAATCTCAAATGAAAGAATATGAGAAACCTAATTCACGAGAGATGGATTGCAACGCGGCAACTTTCAGCAAGGAAAGAAGGCTTGCAGGAACCGTCATCTAGTAACTAAATATGACTAGCCATTATGATAGTCATGGCCTACTACCTATAGTTACTTAGCCCTTTTACTTTTGAACTGAATCAATCTGACAGCATGCAAGTCGCAACATTTTTACTTGTAAGGGTGCCAAGGAGTCAAATGACATTGCATGCTATCCTGAATGCCCTTACAATGTACCCAAATACATCGTTTACAAACAAGTGACGCCGAAATGATCTTCAATTAGTTACATCACGTACACTGTTATTACAGAGTCGCACACACTAAATTCTTCATTTATTTCGTAGTTTCACTTATTAGTTACACAGAATTTTGTAATTCTATCTCATTCGAATAAATGCAGAGACATTATACCAATTCTGCATAATAAGTGGTTGGGGCGATCGCACATTCACTACCGGACTCACTCGGCACTCCAACTCACGTCCGATCACACGATACGTTATTGTCATTTCATATTGAAATTTACACAGTTACCGTTTAGTCACCGACACTGTATAACGGTCGAGCGGCTTGAAGCGGTAAGTACTAAATTAACAAATAATACCTAATTTGAAAGTTTGTTAGATAGGTCTTACAACCACGTGAGCACGTTGTCGGGCTTGCTCGGTGTAGAGTTTATCAGAGACTGCACATCATCCAGCAGTATGTCGTTTGGGAACTCACTCAACTGTAAACAATACATTTTACAATAAACACTGTGGAAATTGTAATTTTATTAAATCCCCTCCCTTCTGTCTTTTCAAGACATATAATTTCGCAAGAATTGTTTCTATTTTTAATTATCGTCGGATACGACCAACCATTGACGAATTTATCATAACGACTTTTATTATCGTAGCGGTGCCATTATATTTAAGCTTTCGGTATAAGCAACGAGTTATCAAGCCAGAAGATGGGTTAATCAAGGAAGTATGAGCAGGTGTTAGAGAAGCGATTAATTTTATATTAGTAGACATCAATAACCTGTAAAGACGATACCAAGTCATCTGTAGAGTCGATGTTGTCGCCGAGCGCAATGTCCGTGGAGTCAAGGTTGGCGCCGGTCTCACTGCTGCAGTCCATACGGTCATCCATGCCGGCGAGGAAATCTTCAGGCGTGTGAGGCATCGAGTAGGACTGGGTAACAGCCATGCCAAGGCCACTGTCAGCTGATTCCTGCCGTTGATGATCCGTTAATCCTGACAAGAATGGGTCCAATGGCAACTCTGTGCTTGCGACGGTTGTACTTCCTGATAGCGACGACACAATCGATGACGCTTGTCGGGCCATTAACTCTTGCTGAAATTTACATATATTAATTTAAACAAGTGGTATTGAACAGAATACTGTGTAACACGTGGGAACAAGATATGGACTTACATTTTAAAGAAAATATTGACTCAAAACGGCGGTGGTAGTCTAGAGGGAAACCGTTGCTTCTCGATTATTTTATTATATTTATAAATTGATATCTCGTAGTAAGTAATGGCAACACCAACAATAATATAATAAGGCAGTTTGGCACTAGTAGCACCATAACAACCACATTATTTTCAGCGTGTGCGCTATTACGTATTGGAAGAATATATATTTTTCAAGTTCACTGTGGTGCTTTTCATTGTTGAAGTCTGCAACCGGCCTAAAATGAATCGAACAGTAACAACTTGCACAGCGCGACTTACGCGGGAGCGACATAGAGCTCGAGCTATTGTTTATTCGCTATACGAACGCTGTTGTGCTAGCCCTATTGGTAAGTCAACAGTCGACCTTCGAGTTCATATTCAATAAATATATTGAGAACTCTGTTCTACGGTTTTGTGCTTAGTAACGAAGATTGTCTATTAGAATTCAATCTTAACTCATTGGTATTGAACAAAAACAGCATTGGTACAGGTGGGCAAGTCTATAGAATGATTAGCTCTATTTAAATCAATAAATATACGTAGACGGTTCGAACATAATGTACAAGTTATAAATGTGTCAAAAATCGGGTAACAAAATTCTCGTTCTACATTATTATTTACCAAAATCGGCCATCTCACCAGTATCTACACCCGATAAGTTTACCCCTTTTCGAGACGTGTTTACTGGTTCAGTATCTAAACTAATAACAACGAAGCTTTTATGTAAAGTTTGTAATGTGTCGTGGGGGCGTTACCGACAGGCAAAAATGCTTTCTTGAAGCTTTAATGTGTTCACTTATCCGATGTGCGATTACACAACTTCTCGTTTGGAGAAGCCATTAGTACAGGCTGATATTATATGTCACAGGTTCATATATGTGACGTTTACCTGAAGTCTGATCTCCTGCTGGCGGTGCTTGAGACGCTCCCTTTCGAGCTGCAGCGACTGCAAGCGCAGCTTCTGCTGGCAGGCTTGCAGCGAGGCGCTGGCCCAGTCGCCGCCTGCCGCACCGGTGCTGCCAACTGGTGTACGTTGCAAGTGTTGAGCTGGAAATAATTTTAACGAACGTTGAAGTTGCATTCAATATAGATATAATAAGTGAGCACTTTAGTATAGTTTTAACCAGTACCTACAACATCATACTAAACATATGTACTCGGTGCATTACACGGTACCTGTGGTTGTTATTGTGAAATAGTAGGTAATGAATTTGCAGTTATCAAATTCAATTGTATCAGAGGTAACTTACGTATTCTAGGGTCGAACCAGGACGTGGTGCGTGCCGCGTGATTGATGAAGTAAATCTCGCCTTCTGGTGTGGTGGCTTGTTCCCAGCCATCAGGCAGCGACCCCAGCGGGTCTGTCGTCGTGTTACTACTTGTACTCTTCGCTGCTGAAACCAATCAGACGCACTCCGTCAATACTATGTGATTTCTTGTGAAACATAATAATGTATGTTTTGGTGACAAGGGAGTTTGAGTGATCCTCTCAACAGCGACTAGTTGCAAGCGACACTAGTTGGTAAGACGCACGTGATCGGGAGTCGGGTGGAGATCGGGATGCTGACCAAGTCTCGTACCAAGAACTCAACGGCGCCAGACGCGCGCTGACGCCCCCGATATATTTAGGGCTGTCCATACTTTGCAAAGGGCAAAATCACGGCAAAATACATGCAACTGCTGTCAATTCTAAAATTAACTTATCATAAAAGTGCAGCTATTTATAAGTGGAGAGAATTCAAAAATATCTTTAAACGTAAAATCTTATAAATAGTAACTGTTACAAGAACTATTTGAACGGTTTTGTAGAACTCGCTTGGAGAGTGGCAGTTTGGCACGTATGACGATAGATCAACAACCCTGTAGGTGAGCATTGGCGTTGGCGCACAAAGTGTAATGAATCAGCGCTCGCGCAACGGATGTCGCAGCCGGCTCACCCTCGGCCGAACTATCGTTACAAAGTAATAAACAGCAGATCATTCATAAACAACTCTGACCGGTAATGAAGATTGCCAACCAACTAATACGCACAAGCAAAATTGAATTACTAATTATTAAACCATATACATACAACACGATTTCAGCACTATCTACCTACAATAATAGTACTTGGAAATGAAACGTGATGTTATCGCTTTCGGTTAACAACAAAGCAATTTTAACGGTCACATGACATAGCAGGTAAAACAATCTACCTATTTGTAACATTCTATATTTTCCAAATAGGTGTGTAGTTAGTTCATGTAATTAAAATTATTTACTGTCATCATTACTCAACAGTGCAGTACAGCGTGTCGATTAAGCACGGTATTGACATGACGCTGTTACCTATCTATTGTGCCTACATGCCGACTGGCAAAAGTGTAGTAGTTATTCCAAAAAAATTACATTAACAAAGAAACGGTAATTACCTAATCTTACTTGCTCAATAATTAACTTAAAGGTATCTTGGTAATACTCGTTTTAATAAACTTTTTCTAAAGATGTCTTCATAGGAAAGGTATTTTAAGCGGGGAAGGTAACTCTATCACATCAGATTAAGGCGGAATGTATAATGAAAACATTATTTATTTGTATCAGGTGAACTACATAGATAGAGTGTTTGTATGTATGTGCGTTGAGACAAAGAGATAAGGTTATATGGCGCACTGCCACTCAAAAGAGGCGTTAGCTAATGTCGCGCCGAACGCTCTTTGCAATAGAACGTGATTAGAGCACGTATTCAAGTAAACAACTTCTAGACACCCAAGAAAGAATGCATAATATTGTGCAGTGCACGTGACATATCGTGCCGCACTCGGCGATTTGCTTTATGATAGGAATCGGTCATTCCCAAACGTTTTACTAAAAGAACATCCCGAACTGCCCTAACGAGTTCACTGAAACGCGTGACATAAATGTTTTTCGGCGGTGATTTGACAAAAGAGCCAGCCAGTAGTAAATGTATTCGCAATGTTACCCGTACGCGGATGTGTCGCAACAAGCGCCTGAAAGCCGCGGCGCCACCGAGCGGCACGCGGCGCGCCAGATCCGGCGGCGCGGGCGCAGGCGTACCGAACGCGCGACACCAATGTATTTTCCGAACACCTTTCAACGCTCGTCTCGCATCGACCGACGGAAACAACGCGTTAATTCCAGTCATAAAATCTGTTTTAGAATTCGGGTTATTTACTTGTTTTTTTAGTTCCATGATAATTTTAAACCTACTCTGAAGTAAATTAGAGCACAAGAAAACGGGCCAGATTTTAACTAGATCTTCACAACATTTTATTCAAATAGCAAAAATTTGAATCATTTAAGCCGAAGAACCTTTGAATAATTTCTTTCGTAGGATCAAGAACTAAAAACGTCGCAATATTACACTGATAAATTCCAGGCCTGAGAAAAGACATAGTTTAATTGTGCCCTTCATGGTGTAGGTATAACAACGTAACAAAATCCGCTCTTCGCGTTTTGTATTTTTGTTCATTTTAGATACCCCAATAAATAACTGTCGCTAGTTAGACTTACGTAGAAAGTAACTATGTAGTTGCAATAGAATATGGAATGTACCTGCTGTGGTAGGTGAATTGATCGTTTGGGCTGTGTTCTGTGAGAGTAGCGTCTCGGCGCTTTGGTGCTGGACGCTGTTGGTGACAGCTTGCGCCGCGAGTGACTTCCGCGGGTCCTCCCATGTCGTAGTCTTTGTTATGTGACTGGAAATAATAAGAACAATAGGTACGTTATTTATTGAAACACCATACGCTGCCCACTACTGACAATAGCTTATTGCTGTCTATTCTAAATTGAAAAACTTCCTACTGTACACAATAACTTTTCTTCATCGTCTCTATTAGCATTGAATAGGTAAGTATCTCCTTTATCTAAGAATATCAAAGGTTTCGTACCACCAAGAGTTATATTATACGATTTACAGTAAAACAAGTTAACTAGCGATACATTTGAAAATCCTGGTTAAGCACTTCCAATAACTGCCGTAGTCCGAAATAACCATTAGTAATTAATTATATTATCCATCATTCATAATAATCAATTTGTTGTCTTCGATATTTATATATTTATAACAATGACATGAGACATGACAAGAGAACTAAGCAACTTAAGCTAAGGATTTCTTATCTTTAACTGGTAAACCCTCAAATTGTTGGATACATTTACAAGCAAGGGCTAAGTGAGATATAACATTAAGCACCCAAGTATTAAGTTATTAGCAACACTCAAGACTTCGTATCAGCCAAATCCTCCTACATAGCGGTCGATGTGACCAATTTGTTGGCAAACCGGACACGCCGTGCGCCAGTCGCGACCTAGTGGATAACCGCTTCGCCACGATCAATAATCTTTTACTTTCATTACTGCTGAAAGTAGCCGCACGTTGCGATCATGCTCATAAAGTTTGAGCGTTGCAAATAAGCCAATCCACAAAAATCCCATAGCAAAACAGCAATTAGACCGATTGTACACGTATTTATTGTTGACTTTGATAAGGAAAGTAACCTTTGATATCGCGAAATAAAAATATCGAATATGCACCAGTGGCGAGATAAGAAAAAGTGTTGCATTGGAAAGCGGTAGGGGCATTACCACGGCGAATCGATTTGCACGGAACGGTAATGAACTTGACTTGGCCGCACTATCAGTTGTTGCCGATGTCACGCTACTCGGTACCTGTAAGCGAAGATGCTGCACCTGCGCTCCTTATCAATGGTCCTCTTAGCTTTTTGTCTCCAGGAAACGAAAATGCACCTTTAAATGTACCTGGGTATTACAGACCACCCAGACGATACGTCCGTACGGTCAACACCGACACTGCTAACCTGAATTATGATAATTTTGCTCTCCATTCACAATTATGTCGGCAAAATCGAACCGCATGAAATAAATGTAACTGAAATCACATCTGCGTTTTGTTAAGACCCGCATTGAGAAATGAGACAAATTCCAATTTCTTGGTTTACCAATTTCCTTTAGGAAATACAGTGAAATACCATACCTACTTATTCCCACAATAATAAGACTCTATCTACGCGAAAAATTTATAGGTAGGAATATGATTAAAATGAGAAATTATTTGTTGCCGAGTTCACAGCTAGAATTCCGTGGATTGTCAAATCAATGAATTCTATAACATATGGAAGAAGCATACTCTATGTCAGAGTTTACCTGACAAAGGATTGCGTAAGTCAATTAACTTATTTATCTAACCTCTACAGTATATTATAAACATGCGATTGTTTTAATTAATTATGATACCTACAGTAGGGGCTTATCTAATACAGTTAGTAATTACGGGTCTGTTTCCAAAGCGCTTAACCAACTACTAATAAGGTCTGTTATTTTTTTATGAGTTTTTTCTATGTGTGGTACCTCTTTATTTGCTTTATCATCCTCATTTCTTTTTCGGTTTGTTCAAACTGTAACGACATTTTTCAACATTACCTTGAAGATCGAGTAATGCTGTATGCTTCGCGTTGCATTAATCGTTAATTCCAGTAAATATGTATATGATTACTAAGGAGGTAGATATCACGCACGCCACTACAGGCCAGGCGCGAAGAGAGGCGCGGGGGGTGGCATGTAATTACAGAGCATCAGGCTGCACCGCGCGTCGGGTCAGGGAGGGGGGTGTCTCAGGTTGCATAACACCGACAAAACTGTTATAATGGCGACTTGCTCCCGCGCATCGTGTTTGTACACAATCACACTATTTACTCACACCCTCCGCGAGAAACACGTAATCGCTTGTTCTAAGAAACTCACAACAAAATTGGCATCGCTAAACTGACTAGAACACCTGGTTTATATTAGTCATCCTAGACTCGTGAATTAGCAAGGAAGCATTTGGAAACTACGTATATTATATATACATACACATATACTTACTACTTTAGATAAATAATACCATAAAAACACTTTTTTTCAGACTAGTTTGAAGGAACTTTCGTAGATAAAAGTTATATTATTGATGTACATAATATACCAAGATTGATATCCTTATAATATTATTACCTACATTCTTTTAAATGTTTACTCGAGCCCTACATTGATTCGACGCCCTTCTTTATAATTATAGTTACACTTTTACTTCACAATTTCAAATACTTGAAGCGAACAATCAGATGACAAGTCACCTAGCCAAGTTGAGAAACAACACACCATTTCTCTCACACGAAGGCCTTCGACTCTTGCACAACAATCGTTCGCTGTGGTAGTGCAAAACTCGATATGATACGACTCTATCTACACAGCTTTGCTATTATACTATCTATGGCTTTGGAATTCATAAAGCTCAAAGATAACATTATACAATGACATGAAAAAAAAATGTTTTTAGACTTAATTCGTACTTAGCTTTTACAATACACGAGTACCTACTTGAAATTAAAGAATGAGATATAATGTTTAAGTATCTAATATCGTACAAACATACTCATTGGCTATTAATTAATAATTGTAAAGAACGCACATTTGCGACATACGTTGTCGTTGTCTGTTTACGTATTAGCATTCTGATTTTCTTAGTTACGTATATAGCAAGCCAATGCAGGAAATCAACATACATAAGTCAATTAGCTGGTTAAATCGAGTACAATCTGTTGAGGCCGGGTATCGCTCCTAAGATGGCGCTTGTGCCTGCCGGATACGCGTCATGTCAGACGCACATCCCGTTCGTCTGGTGCGTTATTTCCTCGCTTTTACACTTGACTTGCGAGAACAGTGCTCGATACAAGATACAGCACAATGAGCATCAACCATCAGGCAACCTCGAAATAAAACGGTTTTGTTTACACTGAAGATTATGATTACGTAATCAAGTTGATTACGCGGTTATATTATTACACAGAAAGTTATGAGGGACAAAGTAATTGGAACCCCGGAAAGCAGACTAACTAGGACAAGAATTGCAAAATTAATATACAAATTCATAGTGTGTAGGCACTGGTTCACTTATTCTTCTAAAATAAAAATATTTTACAAGTCAACTGCAACTGCCAAATATTTTGTATTTATTGACTGCAAAACTGCACAGCTATACATCATCTTCATCACTAGTTCAGATAATTATGAATGATACATACCTATTATTATAAGCTGCTTTGTATACTGGAGCGTTAGAGTATTGTAGAGACAGAACATAAAGTTGGCCCATGCAAGCTTAAAGTAAGAATTCTTAGTCTCAAAGAGTACATAATCGTTAGGCAACATTGGTGCTGTTGCAGTAAATATTCCTACAAAATAATCCGAAATGTTTACACGCCTAAACTTGGGTTCTATCATAGATAGTACGTTCATACATGGGGCAACAAATATTATAGTCCCGTTAGCCTCGAAGTGTGTCGTCTCGTCAACAAACACAGCCTGTGAGCTAAACAGTGGCTATTTAACAATGATCACGACGTCTCGAAGTTGCTGTTATTCTGGTAATGAAGGAGACCAAGATAAATTTAGTTTATTTAATGAATAAAGCTTTGTGCGTAAAAGACTGCAAAACACAAGTTCGATGGGTGTATGTAAAAATATTGGATATTTAAAAAAAATATTTGTGCGTTTTAAGTGTACGTTGATTTTGCTTTTTAATAATCTGGTGTTCAATTGAACCAATTCTGATGTGACTCATTCATTCAACTGAACACACATACAATTTGCTAGCCAGTATTTATTTGCGTTGCTGTTCGAGATGTTCCGAAAACAGACAAATTGATGAGTAGTAAATATACTGATTTAGAAGATATTATTATAACTTTTACGTACTAAGCACCAAGTCTGGTTTTGGAAACTATGTAATATAGATTTTTTAAGAAAAATTAGTTGGAGTTCAATACTCCGTGTCTTTGTGACACTTCCACGACTTCCACGCAATGGGCCGTAGGTTTTTCACCGAGAACAACATGGCGGAGACGAAGCGTTCTAAATTTGAATCACGGACGAGTCGGCGCTCGCGTATGTAAATAAACGCACACACGAATAATCAGTAATTCTAATAATATACAAGTAACACACAATAGAAACAGTATCGCTATATCACAAATAAACAATCAATAAAGTGAAAATGCAAATTTAGGGAAATTTTCATATAGATTAATCATGCGCTGTAATATTAATTCATTTCACAATTTTGAGTGCCAAACATTATGTCATCTCTGTCAACCTACATAATTCTAGCGCTCATCTACTCACACACATAGAGCAATTGACGAAAACATATATACATACATATATGAGGCATCTACTTCCGGTCACTGATTTAAAAATGGTATTTTCTCTACAACGCAAAATGTTAAACTGGTTTCTACCTACCAATATCAATCAAAAATATATAAAAAAGCCAATGCACAATAAATAAATAAAACTATAGAGGACATTATGACATTAGTGACATTTCATTTTTTTTTGCGATTAATTCTTACTCTAAAAAATATTTCAAAACCAGATATTTCCGTTCAGGTTGTCATCGTGTAATTGAAGTAGTGAATTATAAGTATATTCTATATGTTATGTTATGTAGCATAATTTGCAAAGACTGAAGTGTAAATTATTGATGATTCATATCATTTTAAGTGTAAATAAAGGTGTCGGACGCACTAGACGCACGCGTACGCCAGGCAATGCAGGCAGCTGGCGGCCACCGCGCCTCGGCAGCTAGGCGACCAGTCGGCCTTGCGGCTCAACAGCCCGCCTCTCGCTGCCAGAGGTT